CCGTTATTAAAACCAAAACAACTTTTATGAAGTTTAAATTCGCAGGCCTGTGTTTTAGAGAAGTGAGAAACTATAAAGTTTTAGTTTTAGTCTGAACATTTAGTTGACAAATTGTATCTATCTGAATATTTGTTTCGTAAATTTTCAAGCCTTTTACTGGCTTTGCTCTCTCTGTCGTCCAAAATTTAACGCTATATTTCAAAGCAAAGATGTTAATATACATATTGCATACAAAAACTGCTTTGCTACTGTTTCAAAACAATTATGTTCAGAGGGATGATAATCAAAATCTAGACAAAAAACAATAACACTGATTACAATTTACCACTAAATCAAACGTATTTAGTAGTACAAGTTACAAAACCTCTTAATCAATCTGTTGTAAAACATGACAAGGAAAAAGTTAACGCCCTCTTTCAAGATTTCAACATTTTTTATTTTGTAACGACTTCTCAGTTAAGAAGCAAGCTGCACTTGTTCGTTCATTAAGGCAGCTTGTTCATGTTCATGAATTTTGCGGCAAAATAAGTAATTTTAAAAATGGCCAATGCCTCCCTTCTTACCCAACACTTGGGCTACCCCCAAAAGTGAGAAATGCAGACTGCCAGAGAATTTTTTCAAATATAATTCACCACATGAAACGTGTTACATACCTCAAAGCTTTTCCTGCCTCTTTACTCCTGTAAATATCACACTTGTACAGTGGTCCCTCGTGGCCTGCTTTTTTACAGAGTGCTTCGTGAAATTGGAACTGGATGACAAAACTAACAAAGTATCTGAAAAAAAAAAAACATTGGTAAATTTTAGTTTATGAATGAAGTACAAATCAAATTTTTAAAATGGGGTGGGGGTGACTGAGAGCTGATTTTAAATACAAAAAAACAACAACAACAAAAACGACATTTAACTGATTTAGCGTTTTTCAACCGAATTCAATGTCCTTGAAACGAGAGTGCTTTGTCAATATGCCGATATAGGCCTACAATACACTTACTGGTAGTACAACAAAATCAATTATGATCACAAGGCCGATAAACAACTGGGGAACACAATTTCAGTTTTAATGGTAGTTTAAATATAAAACCTGATTCATTTTCAAAATAGTTACATTTGAAGTATTAATTAGCTAAAACGTTAACTTTTGGCTTGAAAACATTGCGAAAAAAAGCAGGAAGAAAAAAGTAACAAAACATTAAGGCACATCAGCATGATTAAAGAGGTTTACAATGTCGTTTTCGCTTCAAATGAAGATTAATAGGAATTAATAATCATTTGTCTGATGCGTTTTGTTCTGTTTTCAGCATTAAAATCACCAAAAGGACTAGATGTTTTAAAAACTTAATAAACCAAAACACGAACTGCATATTTTAGCGATAAATAATTATCATACTTAAAAATTCTATACTGATTGTTGTGGGGTACAAACAAGAGACATTTTATCTATTTCTCTGATTCTCATTGTGGCACCGTTCGTTTACCAAGGGCACACGTAAAATAATCAACGTTTAAAACTATGGTATTTATGAATTATTAATAAACTGATTTATTAGTACTTTTTACGAAATCAATTGAGTGTCACAAATATTCTTCTAAATCCTATTGTCGCTGGGTGATATTTTACTACTTTTAAATAGTTGCATCATATAACTATAATAAAAAACCCATTAATTCTTGAGTATAGTTTTGTGTGATTGCTTAATATTGGCTCGAGATTTGCCTGGGGTCAAATAAAAAAGTTGCACAGTTCTTATTTATGCACAGTATTTGTAAGTAGTAAATATCTCTACCTTTTTCTTGTAACACCAAATTATTAATAAAAGTGAGCCTTCCTTGAAGTTCCTTTCCATCTCAAGACACATTTTTGATGTTCTTAGGTTAAACTGATTTCCGCAAAGAGTATTAGATAGGCTCGCTTTATAATGAGAGGGTCGGTAGGATAAATCATGAATTGATACTGACTTTAACTAAACTGACTGAGTTTAAGCTAAGAAGTGAAGAGACTGAACAAGATGTGTAATACAAAATGAAAACAATCTTCAAAGACAAAAACACAGTGTGTGTACTTGCACTGGACACTGTACGGTCGTCTTTCACTGGACTCGTGAATCGATTAACTGAATTTCTTCACTATAGATGTCTTTCCATCACCCAACTCACTTGAGATTCTATCTAGACTGTTTAAATCTAACGTTTCTTACTTAACAGTGAATAGCGCTACCCATGTAACTGGTCATTCTGATTCAGTATAGGGGAAGCTGTAACTTTGAAATATAATCTAGAAGATCATTGTTGTCATCAACATTCTTGCGCAACGCCCATCGTTACAGTAATCCCCCCCCCCGTGGGTATAACAGATATTATCTCTCTAGAAAATAATAAAGGAGAAAAGACAACCAGAATGAAATCCACTTAACAGTTTTCTGGACCAAGTTTTATACGAAAACTACATACATTGAGAATGAACAAAAAATTTTCAAATTTTCCCATTAAAACAAGAAGGTACAAAACGCACTGTATGCCTCCATACCACACTTTCACGGATTTGTATCTGCACTACTGTTTTTCTAGAGTAATGTAATTAATATTGTTATTCACCGAGCACAAAAAATATTTAGTTCTTCAGTATTCTCATTCCACATTGCAAAAACATTTCCGATTAATTCCTAAAATAATCAGTATTCTAAATTTTCTAAGTTTTTAAAAAAGTCTAACCCTCATTATCCCTGTCAATTAGCCTAATTTGCCCTAAGCTCCTATGCATTTTTCTTATTTTTATATTTTTAATTTTCAAATCGACAGTTTGGAGAATAATCTAAATACATCTTTGAATGTATATCAATAAACTATGACATTTTTACTTCTTTGACACGCCCGCTCCCCAGTGGTTTAACGGTAAGTCAGCAGAGCAGACATACGACACTACAATCGGGTTTCGATACTAGTGGTAGATACAGCACAAATAACCCATTGTGTAGTTTTGTGCTTTAAAGCAACCAAACCTCACTGATAAAAATGAATGTATTTTATAGAATAAATAAGATTCTTCTCACTAAACCTATGAACTGTTCTACCTATACTCAATAAGGCTTTCAAGTGTAAGAATCATTACTAAACGTACTCTGATTATTGTAAAAATGTTGATAGCTTAAAATTTGGGAACAAAATAATATCACAAAGGAGAATGAAGTCATGATAATAAAGGAGAAAACATGCATTATTGATTAAAGATTATCTTTAACCCAGGAGTTGTTTGCCTCACAGAGTCAAAGCACAATTTCGGTAAATAAAACACAGCATGAAAACTATTTCTAAACACTCAATAAAAACTTAATTGCCAAATAGAATGCAACTATGACATTTCAATAAGATCATTGCCATATTATTTTCTGATAGAGAAATCATGTTAAAAATCAACACGCCTGAAACATTCTTTTTTGGAGCGTTCTGTTATTGCATTTTTTCAAGTCAGACTTGACACTACAGTAAATTCCAATATAAACATTGAGCTTTTTTGTAAAACTTATCCACAGATAGAGTTACGGGGGATTTTTAGACCAGAATGTAGACTGGAAATTTTTTGAAGATTTAAGGACAGAATATCGCCTCTGATAACGTCAAAAGTAATTTATGAATTTAAATGTCCTAGGTGCAGCTCTGGGTATATTCTGTCTACCACCAGATGGCTAAAAAGACGTGTACAAAAACATCTAAACTTGTTAAATGACAACAAATCTAGCAAGAAATATGAAATACTGTTACATTGTAATAATACACTCATCAGCACAGCTTGGGCCAGCAAATCAAAGAAACACAGTAAGGTAACTTATAATGGTGATGAGTATATAACACTTATGGAACGATTATGTCCTTTTAACTCACTGTTTAATAATCCAGATTAATTTAGGTATGTGAATAATAGTGTGGCATTACGTCTATTTTATTATTCGGTATTTTACAGTGGACCAACTGATGATATTACAAATTTATTTTCTTTTTACTAAAGATAAAATTGAAAATATAAACTGTGACGTAAAGCAGCTAAAAACTCCAGAAATAGTTAAGGTGTCAGTTATTATGGCGCTAAAATAATTCGTATTGACAAGAAGTATATTTTGGATTAGTAAAAATAAATATATAACTAATTAACTGGTCTACTTTTTACTGCATGTGTGATCCAAAGGATAGAAAATAAAAAAATAAACATTGGGCATAGTTAATGATTAAAGAATCAGAAGATGTATTGAACTTCTCTTACACACTTTTTCACATGATAAATCTCATCATAAGTTCAGGTTTCACCAGATATATTATATGATTGAATTGAAAACATTAAATGTTTTGATCTTTGATTAACTGTTGGGTATTACACATTGTATGTGTGTAAATAATAAATGTGTTATATTCATTTTTTAGTCAACTGTGCTGTATGATTATGTATTGCTACCAGTTCTTACCGAATGTATGGTACGCCTGATGGAATGTGGTACTTAGCACCAGCATCAAAATCCTTTTCAGAACGTTTCGATGGAGGTGAAATTCCTTGGTATTTGATCCTGCCAAAAAAGAGATAAATTGGGAAAATCATTACGTTACAGAAAAAGTGAACGTTGTATACTTAACATATACTATACACAGTCAAGATAAACATTTTACATAGACACTGAAGGAAAGAAAAATAGTACCTCAACTCCCACCATTTTTTATTCATGTTCTCATATGCAGTGTTACCACTGAATATATCCCACCGCCACAAGTCCATCAGGTAGCCAAAGGGCAGGAAAACGATCTTCTCAAGAGCCATGGCCAATAAAAAGTTAATGTCGGTTTCTAAAGTACGTATAAAATAGGACTTATTATTTATATGTTCTAAATGTTCATACAATGTTTGATTAATTAACTCGATTTCCACTATTGTCCTTGAAGTTTAGTTATTTTGAACATGACGTTGAACAAAGCATAAATTACGCATCATACTAGAATCTGCCGAAAAGTAATTAAAATCACGTTTGACTGCAAATGTTTTTGTTTTATAATCATATTCCTCTTAATCAGCCTACTTCGGATTTCGAATCACAAATGTGTAAGGCTAGAACTTTAGATCTATATCATGTCTGCCACAAGTTATTGGTAAGGAAGCCTTTAGTTTAGTATTATACTTCATTAGTTGGGCTAAACTATGGCAGCCAAAAGTTTTATATGTAGTTTTACACATTTAGTGCAGCATAGTAAATCGCCCAACATGGCGAAGCTTTGAGGGTTTTAAGGACTAACAGAAGTGATTATAACTACGCTTAAGAATGTCAAAACTAACATCTATGCTACAACTAACCAGCAAAACTGTAACGGTATGTTATAGTAGTAATTTACCAAGGGATAGCACCAAACTAAGAGTAAACTAAGTGGTGTGTAACAAATTGATCCACTACTGGTTGTCAAATGTTAGCTTCACTGTGACTGTTAAGTTACTGGGCATTTAACTGAGTATTTTACTGTTTGTTTAACCTAGAAAGATCAGCCCACTTGTAACTAGTGCATTACTTGGTATATAACTAATCAGTTTAAGAAATGATAGCTTATTTGTGACTGGTCCATTACACGGTATATAATTAATCAGTTTAAGAAATGATAGCTAGTTTGTAACTGGTCCATTACTTGGTATATAATTAATCAGTTTAAGAAATGATAGCTAGTTTGTGACTGGTCCATTACACGGTATATAATTAATCAGTTTATGAAATGATAGCTAGTTTGTAACTGGTCCATTACTTGGTATATAACTAATCAGTTTAAGAAATGATAGCTAGTTTGTTACTGGTCAATTATTGTATTCATAACTAAGCACACACACCCACACACGCGCACCACATATATACACACGCACACACACCACATATATACACACGCACACACACCACATATATACACACGCACACACACCACATATATACACACTCACACACACCACATATATACACACACACACGCACCACATATATACACACGCACACACTCGTTCTATCAAATGTTGCAATCAACAAACGTTCTTACTGGATTAATAAGTGTATTGTTGATGAATAATAGAGTAGTGGGTGTCAGATTTAAAAATAATAATATATACATATATATATATATATATATATAAGTTCTTTTTGCCAATTGTCGAAATAAATGGATTTTACTTATATTTCTTAATAGTATAAATATATATACTATGCTGTTGTTGGGCTTAGGATTCTTCTACAGAAAGTGTCTATGATTGTTAGCGATAAATTCAACGATGAATAAACAGCACACACTTTACTTGTTTTCAACTTATATACATATACATGTATATATATATATAGATATTCGGAATAAGTTAAACGTATGTACAACAAAGTCTTCTCACTATAGAG